TTCTTTTAACTTTGTTTTATCTCATATTCACAGAGAAGGTAATGCGGCGGTAGATTTTTTAGCTGATTTGGGGGGTAATTTGAATGAGTTTATGGAATTTACTAGTACCTCTTTACCTCCCAAATTGGTTGGCATTACTCATTTGGATCGGGTGGGTATGCCGTATATTAGACTGGGGTAAGGTGGTGTTTTTTCTGGGTGGTTCTTCTTGGGGGAGTTGGGTGCTCCAGGTTTGGATGCTGGTATTTCTTCTTCTATTTATTGCTGGCTGTGCTCTCTCAGTTTTATTGTTTGTCATTTGTTTTGTTGGTTTAACTATAACAGGTTGGATATAATTTTTTCTTTGCTTAGTTTTTTATCCAGGTCTCGTCTGTTCGATTGGTTTAGTAACATCCTTTTGATTTCTTCTCCCATTTATGCTCTTATGGTTGTTTCTGCTTTGTTTAACTTTCTGGGGTGGTGTTGGAATTGCACTGCTGGGTGGGGCTGCATTTTAGTTTGCTTGTTGCGAGTGTTTCGTTTTCCTAGTGGGTTTACTATTCAGTGGATTGGTCTGTTGATGAAGACTGGGTTGGAGTTGATGATAACTGGTAAGTTTTTTGTTTCTACTGTTATTTTTCCTTTAGTGTTCTTTGTGATTTTTTTGCAGGTTTGCTTCCACCTTGAGGGAGTTTTTGGCTTGAAAGCTTGGGCTGATTGGATCTATTTTGAGCTTTCTCATTTTTGGGCACCTTTTTTGTGCCGCTTTAGAATGTTTCTAGGTCTTAATGTTTTTGGCGTAGATGGGGATCTTCGGCCCTTAGGTTTTTATTTCTTTTTGAGTGTTTGTAGCTCTTTGAGCATTAGCGGGCTGAAAATCTCCTTAAGGACTTGTAATTTTGACTTTAATCGACGCGTAGGCCCTTCCGTGGGTTTAACTTTAAAAAAAAAAAATCTAGATTCAACACTTTCAATGCTATGTTATTCTCCTTTTGCTTCTCACCTTCATCAATATGCCTTTGAGTCACTCATTGCTCGTAAGTAATTAGTGATCCAAAAAGATTGTTAATTGAATAAACATTTAAATCATTAAACTCTATAATAATAGTTATTTTTGCATCATAAGCAGCAACAACAACAACAACAACAGCATCAAGTCTTTATCCCACTATGTGGGGTCGGCTACATGAATCCTTTTTCTTCATTGTGTCCTATTAAAAGTCAAATTTTCGTTTAAATCTAATAAAGAAAGGTCATTCCTAATATTTTCTAACCAGGTCTTTTTAGGTCTACCCCTACCTTTCTTAACATAAGTCAAATCTAATACCTCTACTCTCCTAACCGGGTCATCGAAAGGCCGTCGTTTTATGTGACCAAACCATCTAAGGCGACTCTCTCTAATCTTATCTTCTACTGGAGCTACTCCAACCTTTTCACGTATATGCTCATTTCGTATCTTATCTCTAAGGGTAAAGCCACTCATCCACCTGAGCATCTTCATCTCTGCCACACTTAACTTAGTATTATGCTTCTCTTTTAATGGCCAACATTCGGCACCATAAAGCATTGCAGGCCTCACTACCATCTTATAGAATTTTCCCTTAAGTTTGAGGGGTACATTTCTATCACATAACAAGCCCGATGCATTCCTCCACTTCAACCATCCAACTTGAATTCTGCTGATAATATCCCCATCTATTTCACCATTACTCTGAACAATAGATTCAAGATATCTAAAACGTGTACTCTTATTAATGACTTGATCTCCCAAAGTCACAATCCCCTCACTAGGACTATTACTGCTAAAATTACACTCCATATATTCCGTTTTAGATCTACTCAAGCGAAAACCTTTAGACTCTAAGGTTGACCTCCATAATTCAAGTTTACCTTTAACTCCCTCTCTAGTCTTATCAACAAGAAGAATATCATCAGCAAAAAGCATACACCAAGGTACATCCTCTTGCAAATGTCTAGTGAGAACATCCATGACTAAAGCAAAAAGATATGGGCTTAAGGCTGATCCTTGATGTTACCCAACCGAAATAGGGAAATACTTGGTCAAACCACCTTGTGTTTGAACACAAGTAATAGCTCCTGCATACATATCTTTAATGATTTGAATATATACATTATTAACTCCTTTCTTTTCAAGAACTCTCCATAGCACTTCTCTTGTAACTTTATCATATGCTTTTTCTAAATCAATAAATATCATATGTAGATCATCCTTATTTTCTCTATATTTCTCCATCAAACCTCTTAATAAATGTATGGCTTCCATAGTTGACGTACCCGGCATGAATCCAAATTGATTTTGAGAAACATTAGTATCACGCCGCAACCTATGCTCCATAACTCACTCCCATAGTTTTAAAGTATGACACATTAACTTAATTCCTCTAAAATTCGCACAATCTTGTCCATCACCTTTATTCTTAAAAATATGAATTAACACACTCATTCTCCACTCATATGGCATCTTTTTAATCTTCAAAATAGTATTAAAAATTTTAGCAAGCCAAGAAATTCCTTCATCTCCTAAGCATTTCCACACCTCTATTGGAATATCATCAGGTCCAACAGCTTTATCACCCTTCATTTTCTTTAAAGCCTCTCTAACTTCGGTTTTATTAATACGCCGATAAAAAAAAAAATCTTTATTTTCATTTAGTGTGCTAAGGTCACTATAGTCAATCTTATTTTCACAATTTTCATTAAAAAACCTCTCTAACTTCGGTTTTATTAATACGCTGATAACACTACCGTTGTCAGGTCTCAAGTCCTGGATGAGAAAAGTGGAGGGTTATGTTAGGTAGTCGACAGCCAGCGTAAAACTTGTCGAATAATAATGACATGAATCCACAAGAATAATGTTTGTATATTACATTATATGAATCAACAATAAATATGTTTAGCCATAGGAAATATTGTTGGAATCCCACCAAAATTATTCTCTGACCAGATTCATATATAATATTGGCCAGTGGCACTGGCATTAGAAAGCATTAAACCAAAAAAAAATGAAACATTATAAAGCACATCATTCCCCTAACCATATAAGAGTAATATACTATACAGCAAGAGCGTGTATTCTTTCTAGAACAATTTTCAAAAAATTTAAAACTATTTACATGTGAAGGTAAACATAAGTAAAATAAACATTTGTCCAAAAGATTTACCAAGCGAAGCTTAGATCCAAAATCAGGGGTGAAATCAGGTAATATATCCACATGAGTTTTTAATAAGCAAATCTCAGGTCCAACCTGCACAAAATCCAAAGCACATAAAATGGCGTTCAAATGGCAAATGCCAATATTAGCAAAAAGGCATAGAATCTACGGTAGCATAAAAATCCCAGTGCAATATGACAAAAACTGAATGAAAAATTATCTGACACTTAAAGGATAGAATCCTACAGCTTCCTTTATCGAATTGGACCTCCAAAACTACCACTGTTGATGAATAACTTCAATTTCTTGTAATTGAAAGCCCTTAATGATCTATTTTAACTAGCCGGCACAAATTAAAAATAGTAAAGGTAATTGTCAAGATTTGAGTGTCACATGCATAAACTATCCTGTGTGGAGAACTTTGAAAACCCTAATTTTAAGAAACAGAAATGACTCATCAAGCATAATTAATGATACATTAATCATTTAGTACTTTGTATAACCTCTGCAATCTCATAAACCTCATAAGTGGAATCCTATCATCCTTCTGCTCCTCAAATAAGCCTTATCCATAAGGTGGTTTACAATGATTACAACTGCTTTCATCAATCAAATTAAGGATTCGTTTGGGACGGCTTTTCTATTGCTTCTTAAATCAGATTTTTAGTACAAAAATAAAAAATTTTGTATTAGAAAGCTGGTTTAAGAAGTAGTAAGAAAGCCGTCCCAAACAAAGCCTAAATGGTTGGTCAAAACAGGTCACTTAGCTAAGGTCATCATTCAAGACACGATAATAACAAAGTGTATTATTTTTATAAGCCAGCATGATAAACTATATTTTTTAATTGATAATGGTTAAGGTTCAATTAAATAAAGCATTCATGTTAGTGGTGATGGTGATCGCAATACCGCGAGTATTGAGTCAATTGGAGGAACATCAACGTATTCATATTTTCTGGATATTTTCAATATTATACTTCTCTAATTTTATTATTTTATGCAGATAATAAAATTTTGATATTGACAAAATCATACTTAATGATTAATACAAATGTTAGTCTATAGTTAACAATTAAGTTGTAAAAATATTTAAATGTAAATATAATTAAATCAATATTATTTTAGTTAGTTCTTAAGATTTTTCTGTGATGTATATGACAACTTATTCCATTTTGAAATATTTTTCAAAGAAAATATAAACATTAGGTGTTTTGATCACATGTATTAATGATTTATAAAATAGAATATTGTCGGCACGCGAAAAAAAAATGTTGGTCTGATATCTTACGAACCTCTTTCTTATTTCTTATGAAATCTTCTATAAGAAGAACAACCTCAATCACTATATTTTTTCTCTCAATAGCCATATATGGAAGATAATTAAAATAATCTCAAAATATTTTTAATCAGGAATTCGAATCCACAATTAAGAAAGCGATTAACCACAGGAGCTTGTGCCCATGAAAAGCCTTGATCTATAAATAAAAACTTCTTGTTGAGAGCAAAATATATGGGAAGTGCATTAACCACAATCCAATTTTGCCTACAAAAATTATATTTAAGGTCATATAAAAACTTCTTGTTGAAGCATTCATGGTCACATAAAAACTTCAACAATCCTATCAAAATAAAAAAAACTAACATAAGGTGCCCAAATGTGCAATTGACCACTACAAGGAAACTAGATCTCCGGTAACTCATGTGATGATAAAATACCTTTGCTTTCTTGAAATTGAAGAAGGCAAAGGTCGCAATCTATTGACCAATGTTGATTTAGACATTAAAAAACAAATATAAAAATAAGGAAATATGTCAAACTATGTCCCCCTAACATGATAAAAAAAATTTAAATAATTTTATAGAAAAATCCCAAAATAATCCTCAAACTATTTATGTATGGTCAATTTAATCCCAGAGTATCATGTTGCCCTAATTTATTCCTCGACTATACAAAATTGATCCAAAATAATCCCTCATATTGTAATTGTGATATAAAATTAATTTCAATTGAGCCCCTCGATTATACAAAATTGATCTCAATTTAGTCTCAAAAGGACCATTTAAGATCAATTTTATATAATCGATAGACTAAATTAAAGCAATGTTATACTCTGGGACTAAAATGACCGTATATGAATAGTCAGTGAACCATTTTAAAATTTAACCTAATTATTTTATAATCTCATCTATTTGAAAATGTGTGAATAATCATTTCAATATCAATGTAATCCACATAATATTCAAACTTTCGAAAAGATATCTTATCAGAATGGTACATATGTGCATGTTTGAGTACATACATACATACTGGCATGAATTTATGGCATTATGGCAGAAAATCAGCCTCTATGCCTGAAACTGAAAGAAAAAGGGATTGTTAGTGGCATGGATTGAGCTCCAATCTAGATCAAGAAACAAGACTTAGGCTCTATCCAATCTTGAGATATGGTCGAAGCATGAAGAGGCTTACCACCCTAAGTAATTATTAGATATGACAAAACCAAAATGTTTGACAATATCACACATGTCAATATTAATAATCTTTTACTTAATGATAGTATTTTGTTATCATTCATGTGATTACAGAGCAGCTCAAGTGAACAGCCAACATGACGTTGCCTCTTTAGGTCATATTCAAAACATCTATAATATATAAACGAAGTAGCATCCTCTCTTCTAAAAGCCTTAACCTTTGAAGAGAACCCGCCCAGCAGACAAACCAAAGGCGGAAATCTCATAGAAAAGCAGGAAAAAAGTAGCAAAAACCAATCTAACCTTATCGGCTAGCTCGAGAAGATCCTTGGCGGTGGACACGTCGGCAGCCAAACAAAGATTGCTCTGCTTCACCTCCATCACCTCAAATAGCCTCTTTCCCGCCGGATTTTTTGCCAACGCCGCCCGCTCCCCATACGAAAGCCTAACCCTCGTTGGCGCGGTCACCGGCGCCGGAACCCCTACTCTCCTATTAGCATCAAGAAATGTCTTCACGTCCAACGCCATCTCGTTCGATAACCTCCCGCTCTTCACAAGCACTTCTACCATCTCCGACAGCGTAAACAGCGAGTGAAGACGAATCCCCTTCTCCGCTAGATTCTCCCGGCCTCCCTGCTCCCGATCGATTACCACGACAGCGTCGCTCACCTCGAGACCCTCGGCTCGGAGCGGTGCAGCGGTCTCCAGCACGGAGGCGCCACTGGTGACAAGGTCTTCCACCACGAGGCAGATCTGGCCTGCACGGTATACCCCCTCAATAGCACGTGCAGTTCCGTGATCTTTCACCTCTTTACGGCGCATGAGCATGGGGACGGAGCGGTTGACAGAGAATACGGTGGCTATAGGGAGCGCGGTGTAAGGGACACCGCAGACGAGGTCGAATGGCGCGGCGGAAGATGACACGGCGGAGAAGAGTATGTCGGCGATGCGAGAGAGGAGAGAAGGGTAGGAAACGATGAGACGTAGATCGATGTAGATGGGAGAGGAGATGCCGGACTTGAGCTTGAAATGGCCGAACTTTACCGCTTCGATGGAGTGGAGCTCGAGGATGAGGGATTCCATAGCGGCGGCGGCGGCGGCGGCGGCGGCGGTGGCGGCGGCGGAGTAGAAAGTGTGAGAAGGGGTGGGGGATGCGAGGGCTTTGATTCTCTTGATGGCGAGGTGGGATTTGATTGAGTGGGTGAGGGGTACAGAAGATTGGCGACAGATCATCATGGGTCGGTGAAGCTTTGGAACGGGAACCGGAAATAGCGAGCCAGGGGGACCCAGGTTCGCCGCCGTGGCAATCATCGGGCTCGAGAGGATTGCGGCTATGTAATGGCGCTTTTGCGCAGCTCTCACCCTGGTCCTGAGACGCTTTTTTGTTTAAGAATATATTGGGCCGTATAAAATTTGCAAAATAAGAAAAATAATGAAATATAATATAAAATAAATATATTATATTTAAAATTATTGAGTTTTTTTATTAATTACATTGCCAATTTAGGAGGTTAATTTTTATATTTAGTTTAAAGCTGATATATCATTAAAAAAATTATCTTGATCGGGCATGAATCTCGAGGTAAAATCAAGTTCGAAATTTCTAAAATTAAATCGATGACCATCTGAACTCCGATTTCAACAAACTTATAGTCAAGCTGAACGTCTCAAAAATACGAACTCAACAACACCAAATTCGATTCAATCGGAGCCCAAATGAGTCCAAATCAAAGATCCGAAGCACATTTAATAGGTCCAAATAATAAATTGGATTACCAAACAGTTTCCAAACGTGGCATGCTTATAATCGAACCAAGCGGCTCAACGAGACGAATCCAACGAGCCCAAGTTTTTCAAATTCAAACATCAATAAGACATTCAAATGTCCAATAGACGATCCACGATCAAAGGATTTAATTTCGCCCTCCACTCAAATCAATCCCAATTTTGTCTTGATCTTCCTCATATTTATTGGTAATTACACTTTCAAAAAATTATAAATAGACCTTTCATTTCTCATAAAAAGGGATTCCCAAAAGGGAGGAGGAAGGGAGCCCAAGCAATAAGAGAAGGAAGAGTTCTTTTGCCACTAAACTCCTCCTCGATCACCTCCCAGCCACCGACAGACGCCGGATTTTCGCCCGTCACCTGATTTCTACCCGACGCCGGACTTCTAACTAACACTGAACTTTCATCATTTCTACCCAACGCTACACTTCTAACAGAAGCCGGACCTCCGCACATCGCTGGACTTCTACCTGATATCAGACTTCCGCCCGTCGATGGACAACAGTTCTTCCGACCTCCATCTCTCGCCAACTACGGTCCCTCTGACCTTTGTCACTAGACAACAGTCCTTCTGACCTCCGTCATCCGCCGACTACAGTCCTTCCGACCTCTGACCTCTGTCGTCAGACAACAGTCCTCCCTACCACCGTCGCACGCCGACTACGGTCCTTCCGACTTTTGTCGTCAAACAACGACCTTTTCTGACCTCCTTTGTCTACCGATTATGGTCATTCCAACCAAATGAACATGTTAGTAGTGATGCTTCCTATTTCCACCATGTAGCACACTCTATATGATGTATATTTGTTACATCAAGTCAAATCCTTCTCTCCAATAAACGGCATCATTTGTAATCGACTACAAATAATAGTTGATTCATTCAAACTGGGACATGCCTCATGATTTTTCCCCTTTTCAAGATTCTCCGCGTAAAAATCTTGTTGCCTCTTATGAACATTCCACCCTCTCTTTTTATACGATTGTGTGCTAGATCTTCATACAAAGCTAAGACATTAAAATTTATACTTCTCTACCGCTGCGAATAATGAAGGACGCAACAAAAGTAAACTTAATTAAGTATAAAATTTGATAGTTGTAGAGATGGTGCAATAGTTAGTGCCAACTGCAGGTCAATGGAGCTACAAGATGGGTCAAGCGATATTCGTCGATGATAGTGGAAATGGTGGTAAGTGATGGTAATTGGTAAAGGTGACGATGAATTTGAAATGCACCAAAATTTACACTGTATTTGTTTTACGTCAAACCAAATACCAATACTCTCAAAACCTCTACATTTTAACTTATTTATATTCCTTGTAGCCCCTAAAATATTTTATAATTTTTGTTTATGTAAATAGAAAATAAGTAGATCTATCAAATATTATTTAAAACAAAATGAATTAAAAATGAAAATGAAATAAAATAAGATGATAGTTAAAAATAAAATAAACACAAAGATGAACATAATTATTTATACATTTTTTAGCCTAACTCTTTATTTAGTATTGTATGCTGTATTTTTTTAGAGGACAAAATAAGAGCATGAAGATTATTTTGATGAAAATGATTCAGCATGCAAAAAGTATGCTTTTGTAATAATAAATTCAAACTTTTCCCCACTAATAACTATATTATCATTGAAAGCTGATTTAATCATTTCATTATTTGAGAGTTTAGTATATGGATAGGCATTGAATTCAAATAAATTTAGATAATTGTTTGACTGATTATTTTAGAATTTAAGGTCGAATATGATTATGATATCTTATAATATTTATTTTGCTTATTACAAAACTTGCAAAGTGAGTAAAAATTTATATATCTAGCATCTCTTATTAATTTTAGACTTGAAGATGAGCAAGTGGAATATAAAAAATAAAGTAAAATATTGTCCTAAACTAGATGGGGTTATTTAAATAATGCTAATAAAAATATTTTTAAAAGTAGGACTCAAGATTATGTGAGAAAAAGTAGCTAGTAATATTCAAAATATTACAAAGCATATTATTGGAGAATCAATAGGAAAAATTCATAATAGTAAAAATAGTTGATGGTGGAATGAAAATGAGCAATTAAAAATCAAAATTAAGAAGTTTTGTTAAAAAATTAGTTTAGATGTAAAAACTCAAAAAATTATGAAACCTATAGAAGGGCTTGTAGTGGGTCTAAGAAAGCAATTTGTGATGCTAAGGAGTAGGGGTGTCAAAAACGTTTTGCGGGTCAAGTTCGAGGCGAACCCGATATTGATTTGTTGTTGTTTGACACGACCTGAACCAACCTGATTTTGCAAACATATCAGAAATTCCAACCAAGATTCGACTTGAACTTCCATTAGCCTTAAGGTGTAGGGTCCGGTGTGATGTCGCGCTTGCGCATGCAAAGCGGAAGTCCAATGTGGAAGTCTAGGCTCATACAAATCTATCCAGACTCTTAAGGACTCTTCTCCTTGGTTGGGAATGTCTCTCAAATCTACTCACACTCAGCTCAAATCAACAAGATGCCGCTAAATCTTCAACATGCCTATAGGCAATGAGCATCACAAGAGGTCAAGAGCCAAATTTGCTTGACTCAGTCAACTCTCAACTTGAAATTATCATGACCCGAAGAGACTCACCCTTCGCACTTAATGTAGTTTTCATCGTCAGAAATTCAGGTAAATGTCTATTAATGATTGTTTATGTTAATTGGATTAGCAATCATAAGACTTAAAATGTTTAATAAGGTTGTAAGTAATTAGGGTTTGGGTTGGAAAGGTTAAAATGTAAGTGAAAAAAAGTTGCTCTATGGGTTAGGAGTGTCGTAGCATTGAGCTCTCGAAAAAATGGAGAAAAAATGGGAAATGGGTGTGCACTGTGGCGCCAGTTTTCAAGTGAGGATATCATGGAAGGTCTCATGTGAGGATATCATGGGAGAATCTAGAATATTCTCTAAGAGCGCAGCAATGATGGGAGGTGAGCTTCACAATGCTAAATCAAGTTAATAGTTTTTAAATATTAAAATATCTCAATTTCATTTGACTAAACCATTTGCACCCCCAGCCATCTTGCCAGAGAAGGGAAGAAGAAAGGGGAGGAGAAAATGAGAAAGAAAATAGGAATGATTTTGGAAGCCAAAATCCAAAAATCATCCGTTCAATCAATTGGGGAAATTGTTGTGCTCGAGATTGGCAACCCATACTTTGTTTTTTTTTTTCACTTCCAAAATATTTATAGAAATGTATGCTTATAAATTTATTTTTCTTGAGTTTGAAAATGCTTGCACCATTTAAATTTTAGTATATCGTTACCTACTATATTCTAGACAATTTGACTACTCGAATACAAAATTTTAACGTTTGATTTGCTCTGTAAGAATTTTTGAAATTTTTGAAGAATTGTGACACTTTTGAACCTCAATATAGTTGGCAAAGTATATTAATTTCTCTATGAAATTGGCATAATTCTAAAAATTTTCACTAAGCATCCAAAATTGGGGCTTTTTGTATAAAATATGGTAATTAATATGCATATGTTTTAAACTCCTCAGTTCAATATTGCATTATCATCAGCATACACTACATAGCATTATGGAGCTATGTGAATTGTGTGCTTGAGCCCAATGCAAATGTATCTCTATTTTGGACTTTTATTAAACTCTGGCGTTGAGATGATTCTGTGTTGGATACTATGCTCGATTTTAGTTCTACTCTGCACCTGTCTCAAGAAGGTGGGAGGTGATAAATAGGAGTTCTAAATGGGCATTAATACGTGTGTATTTTTGCATTCATATTTAAATGTGACATAGTATGCTAAAACTGTAGAGTAAATGAAAGTTCTATTATTTTGTTTATTTTAATTTTGAATTGTGAATCGAACTCTGATATGAGGAAAAAGAATTGGCCTACTAAGTTTTACTTTCACTTTGTTGTGTAAAACATTTTAAGCAAAAGCAAAGGTCCCACTAAGTAGATTGAGGCTTCGATTGGGACGACTTTCTTATTGCTTCTTAAAGCAGCTTTTTAGTAGAAAAATTTTATTTTTTGTACTAAAAAACTATTTTGAGAAGCGGTAAAAAAGCCGTCCCAAACGAAGCCTGGGTATAATAAGGAGCATGGAATCTGATTTAATAAGATACATATGATTTAATAGTTCAAAAGGTATTTAAGTCCTTTATTACATTCATCGTATTATGAACTACTATTATTTAAGTATTTTGAAAGAAATGTAATGTATGCATATTATGAATATTTATTTATACTATTTTAGATGATTAGATGGCTCTGGAGAATTGACAAATTATATTGTTAATTAATAAGTGTATTAAAAAATAGGGTAAATTCATCCTTTAGATCTTAGTGCATTACAAAGTTATATTAGAGCAGCAATTGGGAGGAATTTAATCAAAACTATGGCCTTAGGAAATGATTTGTAAGTTAGGAAAAAGATGCTAGGTAGTTTGATGTTAATTTATGTATAGGTAATTATAAGTCGTTGATTGAAAATGGGGAGGTTTCTTTTGGATGGAGAAGTTGATGGTAGGTAGTTTGATGTTAATTACTGATGCTAGTCTACCCACCCAAGTCCCTTTCCCTTTCCCAT